ATTAACAATTAAAGTTGTAATTAACAAAATTAGAACAGTGTAAGGATCTCCATTAACAATTCTAATAAATCAAATATGGTTTTATGGGAATTCTATCATTCATTCTTTCTCGATCATATATCGCAATTCTAGATTATCAAAATTAACAAATTTTCTTAATTCTTTCTCGAACAAATCTCATATTCTTTCAATATAAATCCCAATCCTGAAAGCGATCTTGAGCAAGATTTGATTTTGATCTTAAAGCTATAATGCTATATGTGAATCTAAGATACATTTGTGAATCAATTAAGTATACTTCATACGTGAATGATTTAAATAGTTCATATATGAATCATTCGGACTAAATAGTTCATATGTGAATGACTTAAATAGTTATGTTAATCATTTAGGTTAACATGCACATAACAATGAAAATATGAATTAAATCAATTTCATGTATGCGTCACTATTTCATTTGTGACTGTCTAATAAATTCACATATAAAGAGAATCCAAAACAACTTATATAATATGAGAATCTATGGTTTCATATATGAATCACACAGGTTCACCTATGCACATATTAAATCATAATATGTGCAGACTATTCAGTTGTGGTTGTAGAAGTTATGAAACTATTCCTTTATCTTCCGCATAATTGTTACCATGTGATTAAATTATGTGGTACTGCATAATTAACCCCTTAAATTTTGACCGTTAATTTTCTTTAGGGGAAGGGCTAAAATGATTTCTCTCTTTCTCATATATTTGAGACTTCTTATCTAAACCCTCTCTCTCTCTCTCTCTCTCTCTCTCTCTCTATATATATATATATATTCATGTGTTTTGTAAAACTTGTTGTGTTAGCTATAAGTTTTTAAATAGATAAATATTGTTTGGTATAAATTTTCTAAATATTTTAGTAGACTGAAACTTGTAAGTTGACTTTAAATAATGCTTAAATATTTTTAAAGTATTATTATTGTTGTATTAATATTGAAAAACCATTGTTCAAAATTAATCACATATATAAGATTGTTTATCAAACGTTTACCCGATAAATGCTTACTGGTATGAGACATTACTTACTTTATTATATAACAGTTTTCACGCTCACTTACCGAGTAAGACTCTTGTTTCTTTCCATGCTTAATCGTGAAGTAAGTGATACAATAAGCACTTACCCTACAAGTATTTAGTAAATGACCATACAGGTTTTGTTAATAAATACTGCACCAAGTCCAAAGAAATTATTGACAAAAATAATTTATGTATTAATTTAAAATCATGATAAAAATTATTGGTAGCCCATCGTTCGAGAATTGTAAGAAGTTCACAAATTCATTTTCTATCCATATGGAAAGAATTGCCAAAAAATTGATAGCGCCGACACTTAAACGAGTTTACAAACTCACAAATCTCATTTATCATCAATGTGAGACAAGTTACAAACCCATCCACTTAAACTTCTGAGATCCTCGTCAAGATCAAGCCTACCTAACATCCTTCTTGTTTGTTAGGCGATGTGGATTTTGCCCGAGATGTTATAAAAACCCTTCTTCATGAACTTGATGAGAATTGCCTCACGCAAAACAACAGTCTGATTGAATAACTTTCAAACCAACTTACAGTCGCAATGCAAGTTACTGGTAATCCACAAGTTGAGGTTTACAAGAAGCTTACAAATTTCTTTTCATTAAGACGAGTTATCACAAACTCCTATTTAAATTCCTAACATTCTCGTCTGGCTTATCCAACCTCTTCCTTATTTTTATGAACAATGTGAAATTCGCCAAATATGTTAGAAAACGGCACATAGGGACTGATGATGCTTGCCCACTTTCACAATGGTACTGATGATGGGTTTTATGTATGTGGGACGGATTGTTACACCCCTCCTATGTCACTTAAATAAGGTTACAAACTCATAAATCCCATTTTTCATTAATGTGAAACAAGTTTCACACGAAGTCAAGTCTTCTTTTCTTTTTTCGTATTATACAGACGGCGAGTCAACATGAGTTGTATGAATATTTTTCTTGAAATGAAAACTTTATACAATATTTAGATATATTGAAAAAGAAATTTGCAAACAACACACAACATACAGATAAAGTTTTGAACTTTTGTTTTATGTTGGACGTAAGGTTACAGTGGATATGAAGTAGGACTATACAACTACTTGTATAATGTATGTGCATACGTATACGAATTTCTAGTATTTGTATATATACTTATCTCTTTATATATATATGTATTTACGTATGTATTTACGCATGTGAGTATTTAACTATATATATATATATGTATGTATGTATGATGTTTCAAATACAACCAATCACATGTGTACAACTAATACAACTCAATCAATTGATATATTTATAGAAATGATGAGAGTTCATTTATTATTATTTGAATATTTATGGAAGATGATTATAGTTCATTAATTATTATCAATACTTTATATTAGGAAACAATTAAAACTTTTATGAAATCATATATTCATCAAATTAAATAAATGGTTGGGATTAAATTATATTAATTATATAAATATAAAGGGTTGTATAATAACGCAGTTGTGTATATATATGTGTGAATATAATGTGGACTTGTGTACTACGTATGTGAATTAACACGCGTTCATTTCCTAAGTACTCATATACAAAAAAGCCACAAAGGAGTTACTAGATTTTTTAAAATAAAAAAAAACTTGTCTTTTAGGATTAATATAACTAGAAGGGTATTTGCATAATATAACGAAATATATTTTTATTTTAATGTTTTGTTTTAATTTTTTTTGTCTCTATCGGTATTATAATATGAATTTATGTGAATTTGAGCAAAGAATAATGTTTTCTTTAAAAATGTAAATTTAAAGATTTTCATAAAAATATAAAAAAAATATAAAAGTTCTTATTTTGTTTTTGTAATTTTTTAATTTATTTTTATTATAATTTAATTCAGATTTAATAACGAAATAATTTGTTTTTGGTTTAACAATATAATTTTTATAAAGATAATAACAACTAACTATTATGTTAGAACTCAATAATTATCCTAATTATATTTTAGATATATTTAAAATAAGAATTTTATCTTGTATTTGATTATATTTATCTACAGTTAGTTACATGAATTTAAATATGGAGCTTAATAGGTTGTACTTATGCAAAATTTACTTATAATATTGAATTTTAAGTAATATACATCAATAAGCAGTACTTCATGTATAAAAGATGGTTTTTAAGAGTTTTTGTCATATGCTTTATAATATAGTTATGGATACGTAATTACTAAAAAGACTTTCATTTTATCATAAATGCTTATGTAATGACAAAAAATCTAAGCATCATAATAGATCATTTACAGAACTTAATTTATATGACTAATTAATAAAATATTATATCTAAAGGCGTAATTAGTTTATAGGACGTTTTTGGAATTGTAACAAGTTCTTAAGGAATTTTTATTAAAAATATGTTGTATTAGCTATTTTATAGGACGCTATTTGGAATGGTGTATTATAAAAACAAAGTAACCTATAAAAAAGTTAATGTTAAAACATTCAAAGGCGTTTTTATAAGCTTATTACAACGACTTTTGATCACACACTTTATTTTTTGGTTCTATAAATTAATTCTTATAAAATAGTCTATTTGTAGGCTTAATAATTGTTGGCGTTTTATAAATCGAATTTTTGTGCTAGTAATGATGTTAAATTCGTTAAATTGGAAAATCATAGATTTTGTTATTCAAATGTAAAGTTTAAGATTTGTGGTTTTATTGATATGTTGTATTACTACATTAAAGTATCTTGTATCGGTTTTAATTAGAGTGGAAGCATTTAAACATCTTCAAGTTAAAAATTAACATTTTTAGACAGATTGAAAGTCTAAATTTTCAATACTTGAAGAAACGAACTCGTCAAAAGACATGTATAACACGCAAATGATGGATTCCGTCATCTATAACAGCTGTTACTTGCTACTGACACGTATAAATGTCTACATATCCTTTTAGTACACGACTACAGTTTCGAGACTACTAGAATACATATTTGTATTCAAATTCATACCCGTTTCTCACGATAGTATCGTTTTTTTAACTTGGGCACATCTTGTCATTACAAATCCTCTTGAAGATAACAAATCAGACCACACTGAAAGCAGTCCGTGAAGACCTTAGATTTGCAATAATACGTAAGCGAAAAAGTTTTGACAAAACATAGTAAATAATAAGAAACTTGAAAAGAAAAAGAAGTGGCGCTATAGAGACGATTCAAAAACAATGAAGTGGGTATTGTATTCTTCTAGGATCCAATCTGATTAGTTGGAGTTCCAATAAACAAAACATTGGGATTCGATTCAATACTGAGACGGAGTACCGAGCTTTAGCTCATGCCGCTGCAGAATTACAATGGTTTCTCTTGTTGACTAAATAGTTAAAACTGGATCTTACTTGTCTACGTAGGATCTGGAGTGAAAACATTGGTGTGAATCATTTGGCCATGAATCCAGTTTTCCACCAGTGAACAAAACACATAGAGATTGATCTGCATTTTATTTGGGACATGATTCTCTCTAAACAACTTTGTATTCGATATGTTTTAACAACTGTTCAGATTGTTGATGTGTTAACTAAAGGTCTGACTTCCACTCATTTTACTACACTAAAATTCAAGCTTCACATTGTTCAACATGTTTTGCTTGTAGGGGGGATGATAGTGTAGTTGAATAAATCATGTTATTAATCGAACAAGGAAGTTAAGATGTTTGTAACTAGTTGGTTAGAGTGAGTTGTTTCCTATAGACACTTTATGTTATAGGCTCTGTAATGTGCCTATATAAAAGAGTGTTGTACAACTTTTTTCATTAAGTCAATAAAACATAACTCCTTTCTTTACCGTATTCCTTTCTCTATAATTAGCTTTCTTTTATGCAACTTTAGCCTACAATAATGATGTTTTATACTACAAGATTTTTCACATATCCGTCCCTAAATCTAGATTATTTTCATACTCTAAGGTATTATAAGCCTACTACGATTTATCCGAGTTGATTTTCTGTTACGATAAATTGATGAAACAATAGCGAGTCCAATAGCGGCTTCAGCAGCTGCAATAGCTACACGTCTTTTTTTCAGGGGTCTACAGCCATTATGTGGCATAGGGGTTACATYCCGTACGAAAGTTAATAGTATACCACTTCTGCGAATAGCTCGTAATGCTGCGTCTCTTCCGAGACCGGGACCTTTAATCATGRCTTCTGCTCGTTGCATACCTTGATCTACTACTGCACGAATAGCATTTCCCGCTGCTGTTTGAGCAGCAAATGGCGTCCCTCTTCTTATACCTCGATCACCACCGTATGGCTGACAGGCGATTACTAGCGATTCCGGCTACAAAAATACTGTCAAGGAGTATGTACACATATAGGTGTGCACAGAAAGAATATGTTTGCCTCTATTTTCAGAAACCTGAATTAAATCATGTTGATTGTAGAATAATTATTCTTGGAGGTAATTATAAAACTATGTTCTAAAATGTAATTATAAAAATTACAGGATGTTATATATAAATATATATAGTTATATTAAAGTTTAAGATAATTACATAATTTTATTTAAGTTATAGTCCATCTATAACTTTAGTCCATATAAATAAGGTGATAAGATAAAGATCATAGGGATTGAAGCTTTTAGATTTTAATTATCAAAAGGCAAAAAGAAACATTTTCTTTCTTTCTTTCTGCCAAAGAAACACATTAGATCTAGGATTTTGGGCTAGCACCCTGTAGAGTCCCTAAAATTTGTTCATGTATGGACTACCGACAGAGGAAACCTAATTTAGTTTCTAAATGCTCCATCATAAGCCTCGCTAGATCTGAAAGGTAACCCTCTAAACACTCTATGGTTTGTTTAGATTTGTTTTGATAGTTACATAATTCGTCTAAGGGTTTTAGTTTTAGAAAAGTTCACTAAGTTATTTATAACCTAAAACAATTTTCCATTGCGTTTATCGGTTACAAGATTGTTTTACAACCCTACAGTGGTATTAGAGCCACTTTGACATTAAACCAACTAAATCGGAAAGAAAAACAAAACAAAAAATGGAACCGAAATATTTTATGGAAATTAACCCCTCATTCCTCTCGTCATCGCTGCCTTCTGATCGGTTCCATCGCTCCATAGCAGTTGGCATCGTGTTGGATGCCTCGCTATGGCCCTAGTGGCTAGCGTTGTCTAAGGTTCTCCCTCTTGCAGTTGCCAATGACCAAGGCTGCTACCGCTATACCATGGTGGCTTGACAACAAGTCGCATGCTGGTCGAGATCTTTTGTCGAACCTACCGATGGCAAGGCTTCATCTGGATGATCATCACACCTTTTAAATCGTATCATCACCTGCTGCCATTTCGGGGCCACAACTGGGGGCCACGTCTAAGGTTATGATCTTAGTCGTTGTTCTATCGCTTTGGCCACATGCCCTACATTGCTGAATGGTCTTCTCAGCCACAGGCGTTGCATCGCTGAACAGTTTCTTTGGCCACGACCTTGAGACTCTTCTCACCTCCTCAACCATGGCCTTCCACCGTAGGTTGGAAGCTTCGGCCACAACCTTAAGCCGTTCTTTGGTCGCTTGAAGGCTAGGACGTCGTGCCATTTTTGTTAGGTGTCTTGGCTACGGTTTTCGTAACAAACCTTAGCCCCTAGCTCTATAATCTACCCTACCCAGTCCATGAAAGCCCTCCAGGGGGCCTAGCCCTCTTTTTTCGAGTCTTAAGCGAATCCGTTCTTGGAAGAAGTCCTCACTTAGATTATAGTAAAATATCTGACTTTCTATTATATTAGTCAAGCGCTAGCACCTCTATAGAGTCCACTTCGTATTAGGCAGTTATGGCTTTTGTTTAAACAATGACTTTTGCCGCTTGAACTCGCTATACCATGTGTCGGATAGTGGTTCGTGCCACGAGCCATGGGTCGGGGTTGTTTTGGTCCAAAACTCTATTTTTCAAAAATATGTTCCGGTTATTCGTTTTTAATGGTTTTTGTTCCGATTTCGTATTTTTATGTTTATATATTATAGCAGAATTTTAATTTTTATGCTTAAAATTTAAATAATATATGGTATGCTCCAAAAAAACCCACGGTCCGTTTGGTTGATGTTATTTTGGAAAATTAAAATGTATAACTTGCAAGGGTTGTAATTTTAATTTTTAACTTTCTAGATGGGGCCAAATGTAAAATATAATAAAATTTGTTATTTTTCTATTTACGAAAATTGTGATCATCCGAAGAGGGCGTTCCAATTAGTCAAGACGGAGTCCCTAGAGTTCACCAAGTTGGCGAGGAGAGCGGAGCTTGAAGACGTCCTCAGACTAACTTTGGTTGTTGTGTACTTGTGTCGACTCACGACACCATATTAGGGACAATACTATATATTATTGTGTGGTTGTTTTTTTTTATGATTGTATTTTTTTATTGCCTTCGATTATTATTATAATTGCAAAATTTTGAAATAAAATTAAACGCAAAATAAATTGTATAAACCATTAATAAAATATGATATTTTAAAATTGATAAAATCAAACCAATTTTAATTGGATAAGTTTTTTTTAAGGATAAAATTAAACATTTTTAAGAGTATAGAATAGTTTTCTAAAACTCACACCTTTCACAACCTTAAACTATACGCCGCCTATTTAAGGTACTTGTCAAGACTTAAAGAGTAAGATGAATGCCTAGTCAATCATGTCAGAATATTGTAATGTGAGACAAGGCGTCAAAATAACGAAAATTAGGTGAACATTTGCTTTTGGTCACTCGCTTAAATAGTCGTGTTTTGAACGACTAATCCCAATAAACCACAAGTCAAGAATTTATGTGGGATCACGATACCTTAATATGGTTAGTTTATTTGGATTCACAGACAATTGTTTTGGCTATTTATGAGTATTTTCAAGGCATTGTAACGAGATTAAACATGCCAATATCGGTATATGATATATTACATAGAATCCCACAAACACCTAAGAGTTACGTTGAATGTAATTGAATGATGCTTATCTAAATAACCTATTTCCATAGACAGTTGCATATGGCCATTTATGGAAATAGGTGAATTGTGGATTTAGCTCAAATTAAAATGATTTTTAAGAGACTAAGGGGCCGTTTACCAAACACTTACCCGGTAAGCATCTAGCGCTAACATTCAACACTATCATTTACTTACAGGATAAGATTTTAGTCAACAAAAAACGACTTTCTATGCAACAAATTACCCGGTAAGAGCTGACCGTGGTAAGAATCATTGCCCTCACTTATCGGGTAAGACCCTAGGGCCTTGCCTCGCTCTTACCGGGTAAGATTCATGGTCCTTTCCATATTCATCTGATAAGGTAACGTTACTTGATAAGCACTTACCCAAGTAAGCATTTGGTAAACGGGCCCTAATTCATTTATTTGATATTTTAAATTGAATTTAAATTTTTGTAGATGTCATCTACCACCTCAAACTCAACTTTGATTTCAAACAACTCAAACATATCCCAATTTACACAACGGTCATCCTTGATAAGGAAAAAATTAAGAACTTCCTCTAGTGGTTTCATTTCCTAAGGATGTCTATATGCATGAAAATAATAACTACATTCTTGACCACCCCCATGCGCTCATGTAGGACTACTTCAGCTAAATTTAGGACTGCTTATGATTAGTACCAAAATAACTCACTAGATGTCAGTTGCTTGATGTTTACCTTCATGACTCCCGAGTTATTGTGGGTATGAAGACGTGTCTACCTGGGATATAATATACTCATAGAAGTCAATGTTTCAGATACAAGTCGGGCAAGAGAGGTTTAAAACAGTCGGGACATTGCATACTTGTATGATGACTGGGGGCTCATTGGTCAATACCCAGGTTCTGAAAATGAAAGGGTACATTGACCGGTTGACCCGTCTTGGCTTCCCACGGGAAAGAGAATTAGGAATTAATCTGACTCTCAATTCTCTACCCAAATCATATGACTAGTTCGTTTTGAACTACAATATGAATGGTTTGGACAAAACTCTTATAGAGCCTCAGGGTATGCTTAAAACTATTGAGAGGAATATAAATTCCAAGTTGGATTTTATCTAAACCATAACAGTATCTGATGATCAAACCTAAAGGTGGGGTCAGGAAAGGGGGGTGGTTAACAAAGGAAAGGCTAAAGTTAGAAGTTACAAATAAAGACAATGGCAAAGGAAAGATTCTTGAGGATGCAGTTTGCTTCAACTGCAACCAAAAGGGGTACTAGAAGACAAACTGCCCAACCATAGTGGTAGAGCAAAAGAAGTAGAAGGCTGATCTAGTCGGAGCTTCTGGTATGTTTACTATTGATTTATTTACTTCTTACTCTTGGGTATTGGATATAGGGTGTGGTACTCACATTTATACTAATCTACACGGTCTAAGAGGTGAAGAAAAGATGAAACTTGGCCAAATAGAGCTAAGGATGGGCAATGGAGTTAAGGTAGCTACAGTTGCTCAAGTGACATATGATATGAAGCTTCATATTGGTCTTACCTTAACCCTTAGCAAGTATTTATATGTACCTAGCATTATTAGGAATATAGTTTCATTTTCTTAACTACAACACTGTATTTATTTAATTTAAGCAATAATTCAATTTCAACTTACATTAACAATATTTTGTATTTTGTGGCTTAACCACACAATGATATTTATGAAACTGACATGCAAAATAGTTGTAATTATGAATCAATGTACAACGTAAACAATAAATGAATTAAGTGGGGCTTAATTAAACCTACTTATGACATTGTTGTCTTGTACATATAAACAAAAAAAGTATAGTAAAATTCCAGGCTGACGGAGTTTTGAAATCATGTGATGCTTTAAATGATACATGTGAGTCTTGCTTGTTGGGAAAAATGACAAGGGCGCATATTAAAGGCAAACCGGAAAGGGCAACATAACTATTAAGGGTATGTTGGTCCCGTTAGGGTCTATAAGAGGTGTAGAAATAGTTTGTAGAAGGAGGGGGGGGGGGATGAATACAAACACAGTAAAATTTTCAAATTTAAAATGTATATTGATAAAGAAGGATCAATACAGATTTTACAAGATTATTTGCGGAAAAGATAAGGTAAATATAACATATCTAAACAATCTAAGTTACACACAAATGTTCTTAGCAAAGAGAAATGATTTGCTGTTTAAGACTAAGAAGAAAGTAAGTTCTTTCTAGGTAAGAACTATTTATAATACTTAAAAAAGGATTTTAACTTGCTTTTGAAGATAAGCGTATTGTGTTCTTAGATGTGTCTTCTTTTACGTATGCACATAAGAACTAGGGTTTAAGAGTATCTTTGCATGGAGATAGAACACATCTATTTATACCCATTGCATTAAATGCACATTAATGCAATGCAGTAGGGTTTGAACACGCATCAAGCCTTTAGAGAAAGACTTGTCCTTTGCTACAGTGAATAGTACAAAAACCTATTCATGAGCAGACATCCTTTCATGGAATTGATGGGTAGTAGAGTCAACTAATCAGCTCCATACCATACTATACTCTAGAAAGGGTATGAGTTTATTCTTTGTGTGTGGAAGGACAAGACAAAATAATCTTGCTCAACAAGCTTCTTTTAATTGTTGAATGCTGGAATAACCCTGAAGGTCTCTTTAGCATTCTCTAATCTTCAGTTTCAATCTTCGACTTTCATTGAAGGTTCTTTGGTGTGAGTTTTGTCTTCTTGAAGTATCGCTGTCGCTGCTGGATTTACATTACATGTTCTCAGTGATCACTGAACAGACTCAGTGATGATGGCTGAAACTGAAAAACAAAAACAATAATACTTCGTATAAGGTAAAAAGGAATATCATCAAATCACTGAGAGAGAGGATCAACAATCTCTCCCTATTTGATGATAACAAAACAACATAAAGAAGGTTGCCTTATCAAATAACGGTGAGAAAAAGTTACATATAAAGTATATGTCCCTTTTAACTATTTTGGGATCTTTTTCAGTGAGTCAGTGTTTTCTTAGAAAATTTTCCTAAGTTAAAAGTTTAAGAAAAAGTGCAAGAAGGAAAACTGAAACTGAAAGCATGTTCACTGACTTATAGATTGTTAGTGAATGTAAGAGTAACACTGGAACTCATAGACTTGTGTCCCTATTACTCTTTTCAGGGATCTTTTTTAGTGATGCACAAAAAATACTTATATTAATTTCAAAAAGAAAAATTACAAGTCATTTAGTACATGTCTTTAGACTTACAAAATATAAGTTTGAACACTGAAAGTAAACATAGAATAAAAGGTTTATACAGTGAATGGACAAATTACAAAGGAAAGTAACTAGTCTAAGTCACTCAGCTTAATGAAGCCATGTACATTTTCTCCAAGCTCCTTTCGACGTAGAAACTCCCTTATGATCTTGTGGTCCAATATTTCACCTTTGAAGTCTTCATCTAGCCAGAACCTGAGATATCCAAGGTGTTTTATTGGGCATAGATGTAACTCAGACATTATTTGAAATCTCACTTCGCCATCATAGTCAAGGAATTTAAGTCCTAACTCAGGCTTCACATGCATAGTGTTGGGTATATATGGACCCTTCGCTGGCAGTAAGAGATTCATCATCGATATGT